GATTAGGATATTAAGCAAAGTATGAAAGTACCGACTGCAGTGCCATCTGCCGGGCTGATTTGTGAATCTAAACCATTCCCAGATCCCCTTGAACACACACAAAAAATTTCATCAAAATCGGTCCAGTCGTTTGAGAGGAGTTCAGTCACATACACACGCACAGAAGAAATATATATATTAAGATTAAGATGAAGATTAGGATTTGTATGTTATAACAAAAACTACAAACAAATTTGAAACATTCTTGACTAGACTGAACATTACATTGCTTTTGTGTGTTCTTATCGTCATTGGAACTACTAAACCAAATTTGAAAATAACAAAATTATTGCTAACAAAAATTAGTAATTTCCACGCGATTTGTTTGGTACGCAAAATCCACATAGCAACAACCAACCATATGATTTTCAAAGTCCTTTCAAACATCAGCTGATTTAAAAAAAAACCTTTTGCATAACCTCTTTCAATACTCATTGTGCAAGGAGTTCTTAATACAAACGAATATACACCTTATGCCATTACATTAAGCTTCGTTTTTGACTGTATAACTAAACGTCCATTTCGTACTGTCCTTTATCGCAAAGTACACGTGCATTAAAAAAAATAAAAGAATAACAGGTAGCTGTACAGCTGATCGTCAGCTGTTCGGAGTTATGCGTTCGACTTTTTAAGAATAACGCAAAAACCATTTTCAAGCGAGAATAGATAGTATCACGTGGGCATTAGGGCTAACATTATACGCAAACGCTTGTAGTTATTACATTTAAATATTTTTTTTTTGAAATACAATGTATTTATAAACGAAGTTTATGTCTAGGCAAAAATAGTTCTAATTTTCAGTACCATTGAACAAAATTTCCTTATGCAAGAATATTTCTTAGTTCCAATTCCTTACCTTTGAAATTGCGTAATTTTTTGTTTGGAACCGTGAGAAGGTCGAAAAAGGATGCATAAGAAACTAGAATATCAATCCATCTCCATGAAAATTTTTTTTATATCACTATTCTAACAATTGTGGTTTCCTTCACTTGAAGAACAACACACAACATTAATAATAAAAATCCAACATTATCTTGGTCTCACATTTATACAGGGATATATATATATATATTTTATTAGGACATACAATTTTTTTTTTTCACCTTATTAAAAATATTTTATTCAAAAGGCTGAGAGTCGGACACTTCAGCCACTAGGCCAACACAGCTCAAAATATGACAAGCAGCTTAGTAATATTAAACTAAAGCTGCCTCTATGGTCCATATCAAATTATAATATTAGATTAATTGAATTCCAGTTATTGCCAAAGATAAACTAAATTAAACATATTTTTAGGTAACGCTTCACAATCATACATCATATAAATAAATAATATTCAGTTTCTTTCTCCACTACTTAATATCAAGGGAAGAAGATAGAAGAGTAAATGTCAAGAAGATAATAATATATAAGCAATTTAAAATACTAAGAAAGTAAAAAGTTCTAAAAAGTACAGTTTTAGAATGATTTGCATATACCACCAGCTTCATATAGATAAATGCAAATGATATATGTATTGGACTATTAAAGATAAGAAATTGATTGTATAAAATACAGATCAAGCACTTGTCTTGCTTGGCAAATTTTTTAAAAATATTGTTGATGTATTTGTACCACCATTATCATCAAAGCAATTAGGCATATTCAAGTATATGATAATACAAAGGTATACAAAAAATAATATAATTTAGGAGAATTGAAAATGTAATCTTGGTATCACTTCATGGCTTATAATTTTCATACTAGAATGCGTACCATGAAAATTATAAAGAAGACTTTAATAAAATAAATATGTAAAAGAATAACTCTAATTCAATTTTTGCAATCACACTGCAACTACAGCAATTGTATTGCCTACATTAAATAAATTTATTTATAAAATTATTGCTTGAAACAATCCCTTGTTATCTAAAAGGCTGTATGTTGCGCACTTAATAATTATATTTGTCTTATTATGACTACAGTGTTGAAATTCAAGACTGTTTAAGCTGCAACTCTTAAATAATTATACCTAAAATCTTTTTAGATTTAAACTGACTAGAAGTAATATTACTCAAGGAAATATTTATTAGAGTTGGTCATTTTAAACAATATGTATTATGTTTTATAATCTGAATATAACATAATATAGTTATTATACTAAATATTTTCTCTTTGGAATTTGCTTAAACACATCACCATTGTTTTTTTTTTAAATTAGTTAACATCACTATCTACTAAATTTAACCTACTACACTCTTCTTGTAAATAATGGAAACAACAAGAATTAGAATTAAAAGTGAGTTTCAGATATACCGATATGCTGTTCCCTAAACAGCATTTAACGCTGTTTAGGGAACAAATCAAATATCAAGTCCATAAGGCACTTGTGTAATGATAAATGTACACAAATAATAACAATGTTCATGAAACACAATTGTATTTAGGTTACGCTAAACAGGAATCGTTTAGTACGTAATTATTATGTGATTAGATATTAGTTACACTTGTATAAAATGAACTTAGCACTTACCAGGTAAGGAGCTTCCAGACTGCCCCATTATATGAAAAATCACACCAATAACGCGCAAGGTTCACGAACTTCTTGTTAGCACATATTTGTTTAGATAACTATTTACTACAACGAGTATGAACCTTTATCACTTAATTAATATTAAACTTCAACACAATGTACTTCATTCGTATTAGTTATTATCAATATATTAAAAATACACACGCGGCTCAGACAATTCTTATTTGAATCTTGTTAGTTTCGGTTTATATTTACCCCAACAACACATACTAAAAAAAATACTAGGTTAATTTAATTATTTTATATTTCATTCCGTATAGTTATGTGTGATCTGGTATACAAAACAATAAAATAATCATTATTTATGAAAAAAATTAGAATGTTTTTCTAAGTTCAAAGTTCTATCTTCTTGACAATTGACTAGAATCAAATATTGATGAACCATTTTCATTCTTTGATTATTCCTTCGACGTTTCAAGTGTCAAAGTGTTACACGTTGTAAAAAATAATACAACATTAGAAAATAATTTGCCATAAGTTAAGGTATTTAGACTCTAGTAAACAATTAATCCGAGCATGAATGTTTTTCGCTGCCTATATTTTTAACGGCATTTATCATATTACAATATCCTGATACAATTTACTGAAAGATAAAGTTGTTAAGTTTAAGTTGGAAGCGAACGACTGTTAACAACAAAAAATACATATTTACGTATAATATAAGTACGTTTTCAAGGATGCTTTTAAATGATAATAAAAGTGGCGTTTACAGTATAAGAGATGCCACCACTATATGGTCAAGTCAATACTTATTATAGTTATAGCCAACGTATAGTTTCACGATTTTGCGTTGTACGGTCCCATAGTTTATGTATATCCTTTTGCCTTACTCAAAGCTTACCATTAAACTACTATCACTAAGGTACAGATACCGGCAAACATCTTGAACAAATGCCCTTGGCTGCGTTGAAGATTTTTAGGTATTAGGTATACGGGAGAGAGGCGGCGGCGGGAGAGTGACGTGTCGATCGCGTGATTGGTAAATCAGTTGACTCCACTTCCTTGTTAAATGCTCAAGAAGTTTGCCGGTATCTGTACGAACGTAAGTAAAATTACTAGAATGGTGATATTCAGAAGCTTAGCAGAAAATATGACTCCCGTATATTAAAATCCCATACGAATGGTATTGTAACATATTATGTGAGATATAATTTACACTATGAATATTATCTTTATAGACTTGCAACAAACATTATCAGAAATGTCTTTTGAGTTTGATAAAAAAAAATCTGTAAATTACTATAAAATATAGACAAATTATCTCTTACAACAGCTTTTATTCTTTATCGACGTATGGGACAAATTTTGTAGCAAATCGTCACGTTTTTCAATGATAGTAATAATTCTATTACAATTAATGAAATTCTATAATAATCTTCGTAGTAATAAGGTAAAATGAAATATTTGTATTCATGTCTATGATAATAAAAGCCTTTTGTTAAACTTTATCTAATTTAACGAATTTCTGTAAAGTTGCATATAGTAGATCATTTTTCGAAAAATAAGATCATAAAGAAGTTTCACTTCTTACGTGTGTACACCTAGTACACGCACAATTTATTTATCGAAGTGACTATTCATACAGATATCCGTATGAATACTTACTGCGTTATTCGTCCGGAAAGTCGTCTAATTTCGTGTTGATAGATTATAGGCTTCCGAAAATTTTGAAATTATCGATACCTACTCGTTAGTATTTCCTAATTAGTACTTGTATTTCATTGTTTGGAACTTTCTGTATTATTAAATTCTTCTAGAATAAAGTGTTTACTTAAATATTTAAAAAGTACCCAAAACCGAATCAGAGCACCCCGCTATCCACGTGGTCTTGTCTTCCCTACCCCTAGAGTGTATATAAAAAATCTGAGGCGCGGAGGAAGAGCTGCCCCCACCCGCTGTAACATAGCATAGGCATAACGCAAGTATGCATTATATTGAATAAAATGCCTGTGCTTTGGTACGCAAGGGTGGAGGGGCTGCGTTTCCCGTAGCGCCGGAGCTGTCCAAAAAATATATTATTATTATTGTTCAGATAGGTTAGGTTAGTATAATATAAAAAAACTAAAAAATAAAACAAAAAAATAAAAAAAAAACTACTGTTACTTACTGGATAAATAAATTAAATTTATTCATACGGTTGACGGATAAATAGACCCAGTAACTATTTATACGGATATCCGTATGAATAGACGCAGCCTTTATTTATCTCTGGCCACTTTCATAATTGAGTCTAGAATATTTGTTTCTATGGTGAAATCTACAAAAAGTTATATTTCTTCTCTGTGGAATCAAAACAATTCAAACTTTTGAAAAATTTAATCTAAACGGAAGTTTTTATTTTGAGTCGATAGTATAAAGTAGTAGTTAAGCATTGTTTTTATGTCATAAAATGGATAAAAAACAACAATTACTTAATCATGAAAGTTACCTTTTGAAGGAAATAGAGCATTATGAAAAGCGAATTAAAGAAGCGTTAGAAAATGAGAAATCCAAAGCAACTTACATTGAAAGTGATAGGTAACATAATCGTTTACGTTTTATTTGATTCAATTTATTCTCACGTTGTTTAGAATAACGATCAAAACCAACTAATTGTAAATATTATACACATTTCATATCTCACTTCTAACTCGAATGAATATTTCATTTCTGTGATTCTTAGAACAATTTAATTCAATGTAAATTTTAAATGTTATAACTATGACCATCTAGAATAAATTTCATCTAGTTTTTATTTTATTTTTTTGATTACATATAATTTTATAGTGTAGTCTTCTTTGTATCATATGAGATGTATGTACTGTTTCTATAATTGAATTTATTGATTACAGCTCTGATTTAGAATATGAATTGAAAATAAATAATGAATCGTCATTATTGGACTTGAAGCTTGAAAAAAAAACAGCTTAAAACATGTTATTTGGCAACAGCTGAACTGGCAGATGTAACCATTGTGCAGTCTGAGATGAATATTCTTCCTGAAGACCCTGAATTTGATGGGTAAGTTATTATATAGATTAAAAGTCATTGGTTTACTGGCTCTCTTTGCTATAACTATAAGAGTAAGAAAGATACAGTATTTAAATAAACAATGAGTTCAGAACATTTTATGCAATATCCAATAGAAAATGTAAGTGATCCATATCCATATCCACAAGTAATGATTTTCCTGTAGCACCATAATCAAGTTCTGATAGCAAGCATATTGAGTATGTTCTTTGATAATTTAAGATAACCTTGGAATTAGCTATATGTGTAATTTTTTTCCTTTTGTTGTAAACAAAAGTTGTTGGAAACAAAAGGAAGAACCGCTGACTGAAGACATTACAGTAATCATAATATGGTTCTGATCATTTAGTCACATTTTTTTTATACATGTCTTAACTGAGACATCATGGAACATTACTGGCAGGTAATTTGGTGTTTTGTTGGTAAAGTTTATGTAAACTGATTTCAGTCTTATCCGCCATTTTTTAGTCCACAAGCCAACAGTATTTATGGCTTTACCACCGCTTTCTTTTCAGTAGCCGTAGACATGCTAGCAGTATTATCAGTAAAGGTCGCGATTATGTTATCTTCTAGTTCAGGAATATTGCATGTGTATAAGAAGTACAGGACCTGACCAAATACTCTCCCTTGCGGCACCCCAGCTTTTATTTCTTACAGTTTTCAATAATCATCTTGTCATACCCTTAACATTCTTTGTGTTAAATATGACTCAAGGATTTTTGAAAATTGACGAGACATTAGTTTCTTTATATACAAGTCCTCGGTGCCACACTTTGTCAAATGCCTGAGCTTCGTCCAGAAATACTGTGGAGCAGACTCTTTGTTCCTCTAGTGCTTTCTCGATATTATTTGTTATTCTATGAACCTTCTCTATGGTAGGAAGCTTTTCTCTGAAACTGAATTGGTAATCCGGTATGAGCTTCATTTTGGCAATAATAGGGTTAAGACATTTGAGAAAGAGTTATATTTATAGAGTATATATTTAGTCACATAATGTGATCTTTGACATTACAGCTTCCGATACATTCTCAAATGAGTCTTCATGTTGTTATTGCTGTTACAGAATAATAATATTTTCAACTTTGTCATCTTTCAGAGTACCAATTACAGAGCCTGGTGTTTGGAAAGAGGTAATGGCAGAATGCAGGATAGGAATGGTTCCATTTTCAATCAGCTTCTTCTCTCACCAAGCTGTAAGTGTTTTTTTTTTGACAGAGAACAATTTATAACTAATGGGTAAAAAAAAAAGTCGACTGAGTGTGTCAGGCACAGAATGCTGAGCGCCTATTATAAAAAAACAAATGATCACGAACCAGATATAGAACTCTGAGGCCAAGACCTAAGGGTTGGGACACCACTGCTTTTTTTTTGTTTGACATTTATAGTACAACTAGCGGACCCCACAGACGTTGTCGTGCATGATATTTCAAGCGATTGAAATATTAAACAAAGTATTAAAGTATCGACTGTAGCGTCATCTGCCGGGCTGATTTGTGTATCTAAACCATCCAGGGCTCCACCCAATCGCAAAAAAAACATTCAAGCCGTTTAAGAGGAGTTGAGTGACATACACACGTACAGTAGAATTATATATTAGGTCCTTACATATGAAATTGGCGTTTTGTATGGGAGGAACAAAAAGTCGAATATTTTTAAATATAATATATTTAATTAATCAAAGTATGAACCATTGTTTTCTATGCCATTTTGCCATCTCATAGGTAGTTCATTGATTCCTTTACTAAAAAAACCAGTCGGACGGGAATCAATAAAATCTGTGAAGGCGATTTGGACTGCCCCATCAGAGTTAAATTTTTTCCCTTGCAAGAAGTTGTCCAAATTATACAAAAAAATGGTAATCTGTTGGAGCAAGGTCCGGAGAATACGGAGGATGTCTTAGACATTCCAATTGAAGCTCTTCTAATTTGGTAGCCGTCTGTTGTGCAGTGTGTGGTCTAGCGTTGTCGTGAAGTAGCAGTGGCGTGGAGCGATTGACCAGCCTAGGTTGTTTAGCCGCTAGCTTTTCCATCATGGTTTGCAATTGCTGACAATAGACATCAGCCGTAATAGTCTGGCCAGATTTGAGAAAACTGCAATGAACAATACCGGCACTAGTCCACCAAACGCTTACAAGTAACTTTTTTGGGGTTAATTTTCGCTTGGGGCAGGATTTGGCTGGCTGGCCAGGATCCAACCATTGCGCTGAGCGGTTCCGATTATCGTCAAGAATCCATTTTTCATCACAGGTAATGATTCGGTTTAAAATACCTTCATTATTGTGCCGGTTCAGTAATGTAACGCAGCAGTCGACGCGCGTTTGCCGGTTTGCTTCAGTCAATTCGTGAGGTACCCATCTTTCAAGCTTTTTAATCTTCCCAATTTGCTTCAAGTGAATTAAAACAGTTTTATCACTATCACCGCAGCCTGCAGCTAACTCGGACGTGGTTTGCGATGGATCCGCTTCCACAATAGCCTTCAATACTTCATTATCAACTTGGGTCTCAGGCCGTCCACGGGGCTTGTTCTGCAGGTCGAAATTTCCAGAACGAAAACGTTGGAACCAAAAACTAACTGTGTTTTCTTTTGCAACATGACCGCCATACACATCATTCACCCTTCGAGTCGTTTCCGCAGCACTAGTGCCACGGCTGAACTCGTACTCGTAAATAATGCGATACTTTAAGTTTTCCATTTTGTAAAATGGAAAGTGTGTGAAATGGAGTGACGGAAACAGAAAAAAAACAAATGAATGACGGTCATCGAAGCACAAATACATGAGTAAATAGCTGTACAAATTTGTATTTGGAATTCCTTACCAAAGAGGAGAACATCGTGAATAAAGTGGCCAGTACGAAATACGCCAATATCATATGTAAGGACCTAATTTATATGTAAGTTATCTTATCTTTTAAGTTAGATCAAACTGCACACGGTGTGCAAATTTGATTGAAATCGGTTAAGTAGTTTAGGAGTCCATAGCAGACAAACAATGTGACGCGTAATTTATTTATTAAGATTATTTTAATTTTCTTTAGAATAAATGCGGTGTGTTTTATGTTTGTGTTTAAATGTGTATTCTCTAAATAGCTATAGCTATTATTAACTGAAATAAATAAATATATTTTCAGAGTCGCCCATTTGCTCCGATAGCCTTTAGGAACCTCCAAGTGTTGCCAATTAAAAAACCTCAAGAAACGGAACTCTCCAAATCAGTGTTGCCACGTTTGACGAGACCATCTGATGCTATACTGGTAATTTATTCTGATTTGTCACTTTGTCAATGTTAATTTCTGATTGGCCTTTGTATTATAAAAAATATTATTTGATACTATTAAAATTATTACTGCATTATGACAGAAATAAAATCATAAAATATAATTAAACCAATTTTACCTTTATTAAGAATTTTTGTTAAGACATATTAAGATACGATACATTATTTTTCAGACACTTCGTAGTTATGAGAATGCTTACCGCTCAAGACGGACTACATTAGCTAATTTATCGGACAAATATGGTGACTTTGTGTCATTGGAAGCAAAGGTAATATTAAAGTACCTATAGTACTAGTATTAAGTACCTAGGTATTGTGAGGGTATATCCAGGATTATTGAGAGACGTGAGCTCTCAGCTGGTTTGGTCAGTATATTAAAAGAAGGAATCTTAAAATCTATCAGAGTAAGTCTGGAACGGTGGTGTGTCTGATTCCAAGCACTGGATCCTTACCGCTAAGTTTCGACTTTGAATTTGGTTCTAAAGTATGATAAGACCTTAAAATTGATTAAAAGAAATAAGTAAATTAAAAAAGTATTTTAATAAAATTTGTACCATAATTACAACCTTAATTTTTTTAAGCTATTGCATATCTTCTATCGCGGGCCTCGATCGTGGAGACCGAATCCAGAAATTCCGTAACGAAAAAAACCTTACGCGTTAGAGCGGGACAGAACGCATACTGCGTATTCACATCTCTCTGACGAGATCGGTGCAGCCGGTTCGCGTTAGAGTGAGACAGACTATATAGGCGATTTAGTATGAGTCTGGTAGAGTGGTAGATTGAATTAATTTATCAAAGAAAAAACTTGAATTAATATCAAAGAAAAAAAAATGCCGCATAAATAAATAATTATAATTGCATAAGTTGAAAAAAAAATTATGCAATAGCTTTACCGCGGCAGTCCCCAAGTGCCACACGTTTTTTTTTCTTCAGCAGACCTTCCCTGTCATTTTACCACACACTTTCAAGTTGCGACATCAGTGCCTTATTGAGTTGGATATATAGAGTAGTCCTGCTGTTATAGAATTCATTGGAACAAATATTTTGTTAAATTTCAGGCTGATGGAGGGTATATAATAAAATGCGACGAAATATTGAACATGACATGGTTATTGCAAAACAAGAATTCTCATTTAACGCGATTCCAACACAAAATGAGCTTTGACTTGGAATATATTGGTGAGTGCAGTTTTAACTTTTAGATGCTAGCGACAGGGAATCCTACAGTGGCTACTGCACTTTCTTATTTTGGATTGTGTTATGTTTTTCTTTTCTAAAATATTATCAATAGAAGTGACGACTCATTGGTCTAGTGGCTAGTACCCCTGACTGCGAATCCATGGGTCCTGGGTTCGATCCCCGGCGGAGACGACAACCAAATGCTCATCACGAGCATTTGGTGTTGTGCTTAGGTCTTGGGTGTTTAAATATGTATTTATATGTCTATCTATCTATAATATGTATGTATATCCGTTGCCTAGTACCCATAACACAAGCTTCACCAGCTTAACTGGGACTAGGTCAATTGGTGTGAATTGTCTTTAAAAAAAAAAAAAGAAGTGGTGAGTATTCTGAAGAATTGTTTGATTTCCTTGCTGCCTCGTTCCACAGCACAAATAATACCGAGTCCCATAATCTTGGTGGTGGTAAATCTTCCATCGTCCGCTTGACTTGGCATTTTGAGAGCAGGTTGTCGTATCAGTTCTCAGAGGCAGCTTCAACTCAAACTCAAAATATCTTTATTCACGTAGGTAAACAAGTACACTTATGAATTGTCAGAGAGAAGTTAAATTAATTGTAAATTTACATTTACTACCAGTTCGCAAGTCAAGGGCGTAGAGCGGGTAAAAAGAACTGGCTAGAAACTTTCCGCCACTCTTTTTAATCGCCAAGTATTGTCATACAAGTTGTTTGAACTGGAGCAAATCAATCCCAAGGATTAGGATCATTTAAGTATTCCTCAAATTTATAAAAAGCTTTATTGATTAATTTCCGTTTAACGAGGGCTTTGAATTTATTTAGTGATAAATCTTTAATTTCGCTTGGGAGTTTGTTGTAAAAACGAATACAATTTCCATATAAGGAGTGGTTTATCTTTTGAAGCCTGGTTGGTCGTACACTCAAATTAGTTCTATTTCGCGTATTATACTGGCTTCAGTCTGTAGAGTGTAATTCTTTTCTCTATGGCCAGCAACTCACTCACTTATAGGTCTCCACAAGCTGCAGTAGCTGTTCTATAAAAATCCTTTCTTTATTTGATAAGATTTTAAAAACCACTTCAGATTGTGTAATGAAGTTTTTCTTTTCTAATATTTTTTTATGTCAAAAATTGGATTTGTTTCTCTACTATATGGTTTATCAAATTTGTTGATAATGTTAATTATAATATTCGCAGATGAATCGTATGTAAAAATAATTCGAAAAGCGAACAAGAAGCTTGAAAACCAATCGATACAGACAGAAGAAAGGACACAGTTACTCGCTGCTATAATTGATGCCTGTCTTCAATCCAAAGCTTCGCTGGAAAGCCAATCTGAAAGTGAAAACGAAAGGGTAAAAGAGACACCTCAAAATTATGAAAATATTATGGCTCCACCCAAAACTATTCCAAAGAAATCCAAGAAAGCATCCCCAAGCCCAGCTTTGGTCGAAAATAGTCTTAAAAAAGCAAAAGCTTTGAAAGCAAATGTGAATTCAAAGAAAGATATCACAGTTGATAATAAAAAAGCACAGGCTAGTAACAAAAATACAGATAACGAACGCGCTGAATTGATAATCAATGAAAATGTAGAAAGAGTTAATAATATACAAGGAAAGAAACAGTCTAAAGTAAATGTTGCCAGTGAAAAAGATATACAGACAACAGATGCTACGATTAAATCTGTTAATGTTGCCAACAAGAAAAATATTCAAATTATTGAAGATAGAATTATAATGCCGGGAAATAGTAATTTAGAAAATAAGAAGAGAAAACTTGATGCTACGGAACAGATACCTGTTAAAAAAATTAAGTCTAATATAGAAAATAGGAAAGAAAATGTAAATAAGGACAGTAGAAAACCTAATACAGACAAGACAGATAAAGTGACAGAAAAGCAAAAGTCTAATACAAACTTAGTAACAAAAAATAATGACAAGTTAAATCCGAAACATAATGAAAACAAGGAAATAAACAAAAATGGTTCTAATGGAATTGAAAAACTTCAAAAAAAGGTTGAGAAACAAATTGGACCTAAAATTACTAAAGAAGTTCAAAGTGTGTCAACAAATACACAAAATAAAGAAAAATCTGGAAAAGTACTAACTCTAAACAAACCTGGCAATTCACAGAAGATAATTAGTTTACAAAAAGAAAACCCCGGAAATCCAAATAAAATTACTGAAGAAATTCATGTGAAAATGGGTAATAAAACAAATAAAATTGGGAATCCGCAAAAGGATAAACCTGTTTCACAAAAAATAAATGAAAATACTAAAAGTGGTAACCCAAAGGTACAGAAATATAACACCGATAAAGGAAATACACCGAGTAAGAAACCGGGAGAGAAAAGAAAATCTTTAGGCAGTGGTGGTAAATCGAAGATACCTCAAAAGAAGCCAGAATTCAAGAATCCACAGACAGGTAATGTATTGGTGCTTGGGTAATTATTCTAAATAATAGAACATAGTTCTTAAGTGAAGATAAAAATAAAATAAATTGTGCGTGTACTAGGTGTACACACGTAAGAAGTGAAACTTCTTTATGATCTTGTTTTTCGAAAAATGATCTACTATATGCAACTTTACAGAAATTCGTTAAATTAGATAAAGTTTAACAAAAGGCTTTTATTATCATAGACATGAATACAAATATTTCATTTTACCTTATTACTACGAAGATTATTATAGAATTTCATTAATTGTAATAGAATTATTACTATCATTGAAAAACGTGACGAATTGCTACAAAATTTCTCCCATACGTCGATAAAGAAGTTTCATTCCAACGCCGATAATGAAGTTTGACTTCAAAAAGCAACATGGCGCGTAACCGAAAAATGTGACGCGTAACGAAATAATGTTACACTAAATTTTTTTCCAACCTCGATAAAGAAGTTTCACTTCAAAAATGTGTGGCACTCGGGGACTGCCGCTGTAAAGCTATTGCATAGCATTTTTTATCGACTTATGGAACTATAATTATTTATTTATGTAGTATTTTTCTTTCTTTGATATTAATTCAAGTATTTACTTAAATATTAATTCAATCTACCACTCTACCAGACTCAGACCAACACGGCTATATATTACGTCTCACTCTAACGCGTACCGGCTGCACCGGCCGCGCTTACGCTACGTCACCGATCACGCCAGACCGATGTGAGACGCAGTATGCGTTCTGTCCCGCTCTAACGCGTATTGGCCGCACCTATATTAAGTCATCGTGTGTTAGGTTTTTATTTTCGTTACGGAATTTCTTGATTCGGTCGCCGCGCTCAAAGCCTGTGATATAAGCTATGTAATAGCTTAATAAAAAACCTACCACAATCTAATACAAAAAGAATAAAATGATAACAGCATTAGTATTACCTAATGCTGTTATAATGAGTACAAATGATTTAAATTTAATGTAAAAAAATATGGAAATTACTAAAAATATAAATATTACCAAACTTGAAAAAGTTGGATATGCTGCTTATAAAATCCATAATTACTAAAGATAATAAATAGATTAAATAAACCCTGCACTCAATTAATTAGTAAATTTGCCATGCTACAAAAAGTTACTAAGATTTGTAGCATATACATATATATTAGCGGTAGACACGGACCGCGTTATAGAAAATAGCGTTGTAGGAGTATTCTCGTAAAACCGTTTTATGAAATTCAAAACAAGGAACTCGAATTTCATAAAGTTATTTAGTTTCATTTTAATATACACAATTGGTCACTAATTATGTTCTTGACGAATCATTATAACTTTCACACTACAGACAAATATAACTTGAGAAATCTCCGCGTTATAGGTGGGAAATACCGCGTTATATGGGATACGAAAATCGAGATATACGGGGGATTACTTATGCATTAATTTCACATAATATTTACTATCTAAAAGCTTTATCGTGAAGTATCGATCGACATCTTTTTATGAACACTCGCACGCAACCACAAAAACTGGTCTTGCTCGTTTCATGCGAATGCGTGCGTGGACGTAACTTGGAAGTAATGCGTGCGCCAGTGCTGTTGTGTTGTGTTGGTTTTATTGTTGGATGCCCGTATGTTTTGATATATATTTTGTAATCGTTAAAACATTAAATCATTTAATGAATAAAAAATTGTGGTTATTTCATCTGCCCCATTAGATTATTTTTTTAAAATATCTAGTCTCAAATGGCAACACCATTCTAAGTGTTTTGTGAGATTTTTAGTGCATAATTATTATAAGTACTGAGCCAAAATTGTCCGTAATATAAAAACACAAGTTTTAAAAATAATTTTATGGGTAAATGAAAAACGCTTTTTTTAATAATCACAATTAAATATATAGAAAAACTATTTGCACTACCTGCAATCAGATTTCGCTTATATTGTGGACACCGACGCCTAACCTTATTTTAATATAATACAGGTAAAATTAAACCGTCGAGTCTTCTGGCAAAGTCGAAACCAACAAATATACCAAGTAAGTTTTGTTTACCTATTTCAATCCAAAGAACTTTTTGACAGTGAAACTGACAATTGACTAAGGACGCTCCCTTAGTCAAGTATAGTATAGTAATGGTTTTTAAAACAATTAGTTTTGTAGGTGGAAAATAACTTTATTTAGTTTGAAAAATAATATAGGCTGGTAAAGTTCACGGAGTAGAGAGTAGGGCAAAGACAACGAGAAACAACTTGACATAAAAGACAACTCAAGTCAATGGAGCAAAAGGTGCGAAATTTAAATATTACAACACAATTGAATTTCATTTAACTAACTGAAATCGACCAAGAACGTAAATTTCTTTAGGAGCCTTAAAATAATTTATATTTCTACTAGCAGACCGGCCAAGCGTTGCTGTGGCTAAGGTTTTTGTTATATTACATAGTAGTAACCTATTCAAGGGAAACGGTAGGAGAACACCAGTCATTGGGGACCACCATGTTTTTTGGTGGTTATTCCATCAAATTGTAGCTTATGTGAAACGTTGGTAAGTACTTATAACACAGCGCCACCTGTAAGAATTGTGACTATAAAATAATAAACAAATATTTTGCAATAAAACAATATTGCGGATATAAATTGAGATGTAAGCTATCCTATCTTTTAAGTCGGATCAAACCGAACACGGTGTGCAAATTTGATTGAAATCGGTTCAGTAGTTTAGCGAGTCCATAGCGGATAAACAACGTGACACGTAATTTATATATATTAAGATATGTATTCTTGTATCTTTTTAATATTTAATTCGCATCTTTTTCTTATTTTCAGTTGTGAAGCGGCCATAATTATGGAACAATTAGAATTGTAACACCTTTGAAGTATATTAGTATCTAGATTTACGATTGCAAATCACACTTCTATAAAAAAATGAAATTATAATTATTGTTTAATAAGTCTTGTTTATATAAGTAGTACATTAATTTGCCTTTTCCAGATAAAATATAATTTGTTAGAAAAGTTATAATAAACCTTTTTGAAGTTTACTTCTTTAGGCGCGTTATGAAAAATTTATGAGAGTGAAATTTTACAATGCGCGCGCACCCGTGACACAAAATTAGGAGTGTGATTATAGCGTGCGCGAGCGAGATAGGAATAAGACAATCTACAAGTAAAAAGAAATAGAATATGCGTGAAGTTCGTATGCCAACAATTTTGAATGACCATAATGACATTTGTCATTTACCTTTTAAACAAATAAAGGAGTTTTAATTATTTTTTCAAAGAAATTTAGCGATGCTTTTTGAATTATAATCAGAAGTGATTTAAATTGAATATTTAAACCAATACTAATTAATATTTGTGAAAAATATTAGTATTTCCTAAGTGCTTCAATACAATTGAGGTTAACTATCCGTATGTATTATTATTATTATCGAGTAATGTTTTGATTAAAAAATTAACCACATTGTTTAATCAAAACATGTAATTTTTCTGATTTTATCTAGCAAATATAAGGAAAAGAGACAAAAAACAATTGATGAATCAGTGTAACTGCACTAAATTGAATACAAAAAAGAGTTTTCATCTTATCGCTGTGAAACATCAAAAACTGGAGGTGGAACAAAGCCAAACTATTTTTAATATTGCCAAAGAAGTATAACTTCTTACGCGCGTACATAAGTACACGGACCCTTTTTTTTTTAATATTTTCAGTTTTATTGAAATTAAACTTGCGTTTATTATTAAGATCCAGAAAGAAATACATGTAATTTTGCCGGAACAAAATTGTTTAGTTATTGTATATTTTTTGTGTATGTAATAAAAATTTATTTTCAATTTAGTTTGTTTCATTTAATGATGGAATATATGATTATTACTATTTTATTTACTAAATAATCTAATTTTATTTATTTATTACATTGTCATCATGCGATGGCCAATTCATATTTTAAACCTAACAGAATTTTATTATTAATATGGTCACTATAAGGTGTTAGGTTAGCTAAACAACTTGAGACAGGTCCCTTATGACGCATCCTTACAAGCATTGCACCAGCTCTATATTTTTGAAGTTATACTTCTTTAGGCGTTATGAAAAATTTATGAGAGTGAAATTTTACGAAGCGCGCACCGTGACACAAAATTAACAGATTGAAGTTGCCCACGGAAGATGCTACGGCATTGGACATAATTTAAAAACAACATTCGAATAATAATAGAATTTATGTTACACTTAATGTAAGAGAATAATAATAAATATTTATTTATTTAATTTTTCAAATGTAAACTGAACTTTATTGACTATAATGACTCTTTTTCCAGTCTTTGATTATTTAATTGTAATTAATTATTTGCATGCAATCAAAAACTATTTTTAATAATGCCAAAGAAGTATAACTTCTTACGCGCGTACATAAGTACACGCACCCTTTTTTTTAAATTGTAGCCTAGTTATTGTGTACTTCTGTCGTATTAGTAATAACTGTTGTCAGAATAAAGTAAATAAATAATTGTAGGGTCGCCCAAAAAGGGAAGTCATCGCCATGACACCCATTTTAGTGGGTGCGTTGCCGGCCTTTGAGGGAGAATGAGGCCCAGCTAACTCAACTAGTGACAGATTTTTCAAAATTAGTACATGGTCAGAGATATCAGATAAATTATCATCCGATTAAAAATAAGAAAAACATTAATCATTTTGGAAATCAATATATTTCAAATAAATTACAATAAATCGAATAACACTTATAACAACACGACGTAGAATACTGAAAGAAAAAAACATAGTATAAAAAAATCTCTTTTAAATAAATAAACTAAAATACTGGAGTGTAAAAATAAATTAATTACTAAAAAATAATAATAAATTGCACATGAAAATGTGGGTAGTCTAAATACTACCCACTTTTTACTATTATTATTCTTTCGAATCACTACGGATTTTAGAACCCTTAGGCTATGTTCACATCACATGTAACGCGCGTCAACGCGCGATCAAATTTGAAGAGAGTTCAGACGATGAGCGCTAATGCGCGTTGCGAGAGTACTCGTCAGTCTAGTTCGGTAGAACGTAGAAAATGGACGTGGAAGAGGCTATTATTTTGTGGTTATATTATAAAGAAAAAGAAAACGTACACATTCGGTTCATCCAATTTTGAAAAATAGACCCAGTTTGTTATAAATATAATTACGAAAATTAACAAAATTACATGCGATCGCGATGAAAGCGCGCGCTCAACTGAACAGCATACGGACATTACATTACATTAATATCAAAGCGCGCGATCACCTGCGTCGAGATACTTTTTCTCTGAGCGCCGCGTTGACGCGCGCTCATGTGAACAGTTGTTTGAAAATACCACAATGTCTAGTCGCGCGATTTGAAAACGCGCTTCAAGTTTTTGCCATATGAACATAGTCTTACATGTTACACATTTCATTTCGTTAATATTAACAACTTTTAGGTGTTCATGAATGCATCATTCAAATAGAATTCACTTTAATTGTATGGTAAATGCTTTCGAGCTGCCAAAAACTTGACAATCAAATTAGTACTAAAGGGGCGTGAGATAAAAACACTTTTTTGTGTTTTTTTAAATAGCTTTTGCGTATTGTGAAAAATGAATTTTTAGATTTGGGTCATGGGTGATATGGGTATCACAAAGCGGTTTTGTCTCACGCCCAGATTGTTCTATCTTTTGTTCATAGACAATGTCAACTGTCAAAAATTCACATCGTTTTGTCATTGTCAAATCTATCCACTACATACAAGTATCAAATCACTACAAAGTTCTATGGTAACTACATTTCTAAAACTACAAAATTAAAATATCTAACCCCACAATTCAGTTTCTTCAAAATTTCTTTCGTTACTCTGGAGAAACAAAAAAATATTTGGTAAATAATACTTTTTAAGTATAGCTTTGGGTACATCGTAAATAACTTTAATTTACTTGTGGTACGTGACCAGGCGTGTCTATGACAAACACTAATTAAGAGAATGTGGTAAAGTTTAAGTTAAAATTAGTAATAGTATTTAAAAAATGTTAGACACCACATGACATGCGTCATTTAAAAAGTGTCAACAGTCAGTGACAATTGACACTTGACACATAAAATTCGAGACGCTGACTCACTGGAGCAGGTTGCTTACACACTCGTCTCTTTAAAACATTCCTGACATTCAATTCAAAGATTCCAGAATTCACTTAAAAGTTAATTAACTAAAATCGAACTTAGAACGTAAATTTTAGATGCCGGTTTATTGTTAAAGAATTTATTTAATTTAAACTTCACCGATTAACTATTTACAGCATAAACCGGAGAGAAGGTGACGAAAGATCACTAAAATTTAAGATATATAAATAAATAAGTCTCCGAAGCACATCTGAAACCCGAAGTTATGTAATAATTATTATTTTATTAAACGAATATTAATTCTGACCGGAAGATAATTTTTTCTCCAGCTCCATACAACGGATTGGACGCTCCGGCTCGGAATCCTCATCATGGTGCATCACTTTCTTTTCAATCTGTAAAATCAATTGGTCACTGTCAACTGTCATCTGTCACTGAAAGTCAGTGTTGCTGTTAACAAAAAACAATATATTAAAATACATATTTTTTTAATTATTATTTATATTTGTGAATTTATGTTATTTTATACACGTATGTATATAAAATAAAAATAAAACCGACTTCAAATATCTGTCAACGTTATATACTAAGGGGACTCCAGTGTCGTGCGTTATGCGTTAACCCATAACTCAAAAACTACTCGACTGATTTTGATGAAACTTAAACTGTTCCCTAAATTCCATGCCTGAGTTTCCGAGAAATTTGTGAACATACACACACAAGTACAAACTGATAACCACCTTTTAAGCAGTAAATTACCTCTGGCTCCCCCATCAGCGTGTTGGCCAAATACGGCGCCCGTAAAACAGCCCGCCAGTACAACTTCTCGACTGGCCTATTCACGCACCAACCAGCCACTCGAATGCCCAGACCGCGCCAATATTCCACTTCACGTCTAAAAAACGTCTTCAAAATTCACTTATCACATATTATAATAACTAGCTGACCCGGCAAGGGAACATTATTAAGTTCAATAAAAATAACTGTCTACTATAATAAAAAATTGGGTTTTATGTATTTTTGATAAATAAAAGTGCGTGCGTACAAAGAACACAATGTCAGAACTGAAACTTCTTTGGCAAACTAATTTTTAAGTGTTGTTCATATTTATACAAATCTAAAACTTTAGATTTCCGAGACTTAGAGGGAGGGAAAAAGGAAGATATATTAGGAATTTAATGAATATAATTGTCATTAAAGTCGTAAGTATAGGGGCCTCATAGCCTAGCGGTCTTATTAAGTGGCAGCTAGGTGAGGGGTACCGGGTTCGATTCCCGGTTCGAGGGCAAGTTTAGGGTCGAGTTTCTAAGGCAAGCACGAATTATAAAAATCTTATACTTGACGCTGGCTAATGCACAAACCGTGCCAGAGCCATAAAAAAAAAGCCGTAAGTAAGTCAAAATAATAAATAAATTTCAGTAAATCTGCTTACGAACGGCCCCTAATTAGGTATATAAAAAATAATAAAGGTCATCTTCCGCTCATGATAATACATTATAATATACCATTGACCAATATGTCTGTCTGTGAAACCCTAACATACAATTGTAAAAGCGACAATAGGTTTATTAGTACATATAACCTTTTAGTAAATACAATAAATGAAATCTAAAACGGTTAACTCACGGACTGACAATATCCTTGTGTAGTAGAACTGCGCTAACTGAACACCACCGAGCTGTCCAACGCCACAATGCTGAGTGGATCACGTCCAAGAACCGAACGAATGTTTGCATTGCCAAACGACCAGCGAATCTAAAAAAACTCCATCTACTTCAAGAAGAGATCCAGGTCCTTAAGAGTATAACACCGAGAATTCAGGGTACACTAATTCACATTTCTGAAGTGAAACTTCTTTAGGCGCATGAGGGTAAAATTTTTACGGAACGTCACGAAGATGTGCAGCGTTTTAGTCGACGAAAAGGGAGAGAGCGATTGAGACCGATAGTTAGAGAGAGAGTTATAGGAATTCTTTTTTAAAATTAAAATTTCGTAAAGAGAATTTATAAAATAGGCAAAATAATTTATTGAAATCTCAAATGACGATTTGTAAATTAAAAAAATAAAATTCAATAAAATTCCTAACATATCTTCTCTCTAAGTCTTGGAAATCTAAAGTTTTAGATTAGTATAAATATGAACAAGAATTAAAAATTAGTTTGGCAAACAAGTTTCACTTCGGACATATTGTGTACTTTGTACGCACGTGCTTTTTTTATAAAACGGGGTAAAGGGGCTGGAGGCTCATCTGATGTTAAGTGGGCAGCTCGCCCATGGACACTAACGTAAGTACTTTTTAAGAATCGGTCCACAGCTGTGCGTTTTTCAATTTTTTGCCGCGCACCACCACTATGTGGAACCAGCTGCCCACTGAAGTATTTCCGAACCAATTCGACTTAGGGTCCTTCAAGAAAAGAGCGTACCAATTCTTTAAAGACCGGCAGCAATCGCAAGCCTTCCGCCAGTGTGAATATCCATGAACGGTATCACTTAACATCAGGTGAGCCTCCTGCCCGTTTGCCCCTGATACATAAAAAAAGCAACTGAAACTTCTTTGGCAAACTAATTTTTAAAGTGTTGTTCATATTTATACAAATGCAAAACTTTAAATTTCCGAGACTTAGAGGGAAAAAGGAAGATATGTTAGGAATTTAATTGTCATTAAAATATTACAAAGTAATACAAATTTAATTTATTAAATTTAAATTTCGTCATTTGAGATTTCAATAAATTATTTTGCATAAAATGTAAAATACTAATATTTCATAAATTCTATTTTAAAAATAGAATTAATATAATAAGGTAATTCGCCCTTCTCACTCTCTCTCAATCGGTCTCAATCGCTCTCTCCCTTTTCTTCGACAAAAACGCTGCACATCTTTGTGACGTTCCGTGTTTCACTTTAAAAATTCACTTACCTAGGGTTGGTGGGTCCGTTCTCGGCATCATAGTTCAAAGCACTAAAGCAGTATGGACGGTAGCTAATGGCGCCAACAATATTGGGATCTTTTTTTCGTATCTGAAATTAAATCGCCTATTTTTAACCATCATAGTAAATATGATTCGATTTATACCATTGATGAAACTTGAACTGTTTTCTAAGTACTACAAAATTTCAGTCACGAAAATAGGTTAAAACTGTGACCCGCCATTTTGAAGTCGATAAATGTTAAAATGAAATAAATAGGTGCTGATTTTTGTCTAGTTTCATATCAATCCCTATTTGCACCAATGGATTTTTCATGTGAGCATTAAGGGTCGCACGTGCGAAGGAAAACATCGTGAGGAAACCGTCTTAGACCTAAAGTCGATGGCTGATCCACCTACTTGCCTATTAAATTAATATATCATGAAACAGATACAGAATTCTGAGGCCCAGACCTAAAAAAGTAGCGTCGCTGTTATTATTTTTTATCGTTTAATGAATAGCCTATGTTACATTCTAATAACTAATATTTCAATAATTTTACTAGTTAAAAAACATACATCCATTATTATTGGTATATTTTTTCTACCTAAAGATTATTCATAAAAAAATTGAAAAATAATGTAAAAAAAATCACTCACCTGATATAATATGAATGGGTTGAATGTGGTCACAACCGCGTATTCATGCAAAATTGGATTGGACGAGAACACACGAAGAATACCATTTATTACCTATAAACAATATTTAGGTAATCGCGATATAAAAAAAGTAACATTTTTGAAGTTATACTTCTTTAGGCGCGTTATGAAAAATTTATAAGAGTGAAATTTTACGATGCGCGCGCACCGTGACACAAAATTATCAGTGTGATTATAGCCGGCGCCGAGCGTGCGCGAGCGAGATGGGAATAAGACAATCTACAAGTAAAAAGAAATAGAATATGCGTGACTTTAGTAGCTATGCCAAGAATTTTGAATGACCAAAATGACATTTGTAGTACCTTTTAAACAAATAAAGGAGTTTTAATTATTTTTTCAAAGAAATTTAGCAATGCTTTTTCACAAAGACCTATTGTTACTTAGTTAAAAGGTTATGAAACATACCTAGTTATTAAATTGAATTAATAATATAATAAATAATAATTATTATTAACATTAATTAATAATTGAATAATATACTAAATATTAAATATTGTTAAATTATTAACGCTAAATAATTATTATTAATTATTTAATATTTAAAAAAAATAAAGAAAGCCAAAGAAGTATAACTTCTTACGCGCGTACATAAGATGTACTCGCACCATTTTTTTTTAATTAGAAAGGCTCGGAAATTCGACCAAATTTTTTTTAATAGGAGGCAAATGGGCTAGAGGCTGACCTGACCCATGGACACTCAGAGAGTTCTCGGGTGCGTTGTCGGACTTTTAAGAATTGGTACGCTCTTTTCTTGAAGGACCCAAGTCGAATTAATTCAGTAGCCAACTGATTCCACATAGTGGTGGTGCGCGGGTATACATAATTTAAAGTTTTTTGTCAAATTACATTAAAAATATTGTCTATTGTCATTCAAGCAGTAATAAAATAAAATAAACAGACTGTTAAATTACATAAAAAAAGACTCATATAATCGTTAACTATACAATCCGAAAAAAAAAAATTAAAACATGTGGGATTGGTAATTTATCTCATATTAAATAACCCGTGTGATAAATGCTAAATGAAGCCTCACCTGCTTGTCTTCACCCTTGACGTCAATTATCATCTTAACTTTATTGGCTAAGAGATAATCTATGGCATCATCTAGCAAACAAAGAGTGACATCTTTGTAGTGTTGCCTGAAAAAAAAAACTTTATGAAGTTATACTTCTTTAGGCGCGTTATGAAAAATTGATGAGAGTAAAATTTTTACGATGCGCGCGCACCGTGACACAAAATTAACAGAATGAAGTTGCCCACGGAAGATGCTACCTACGGCATTGGAAATAATTTAAAAACAACATCGAATAATAATAGAATTTATGTTACTAATTATTGTAAGATAATAATAGTTAATGTAATAGAATAATAATAAATATTTTTTTTGTTTTATTTTTAAAATGTAAACTGAACTTGTTTGACTACAATGACTCCTTTTCCAGTCTTTGATTATTTAATTGTAATTAATTATTTGCATGCAATCAAAAACTATTTTTAATAATGCCAAAGAAGTGTAACTTCTTACGAGCGTACATAAGTACACGCGCCCTTTTTTTATTCTATATGTGACTTTACACTTATCTGAAAAATTGACTACAGACTTAGCGTTCTGGCACTGTCACCTTATTTTTTTTTTAATCTTTAATTTTACTGTAATCAAGCTTAATAATTAAATGAATAAATTATAAATAAATAATTTATTTTCTGTAAGTAGGTTTGTACAAACACTTACACGTCAAGCATATTTTTTTTTTAAACTAGATGAGTTCGACGTTTCCTATCTGACTACTCTGAGAAGAAACGCCGAAACAAACTCAGAGGTCACAGTCTCTTTTAAAGTCCAGACATAACAAGATTATGTGAAGGCCATGTAGATTACAGTCTGAAATGGTCTTTTGAGGAAAGGACCACACAGATTGAGACCTGTCAAGTCAGTGCACGCATTTGTCAGTAATCGTGCAAAAAAATTGGAGTCATCATTTGGGGGTATAAATCGTTTACGAGCTATTCTTAAATCTAGATAAAAATTTGATAAACATCAGTCAATCAGAGAGAGGAGTTTGGCAACACATTTTGAAAAGATCGAGTTATAACACCTCCGTGCCTCGTATGTGTAAAAGTATTAGTTAAAAAGTTAATAGTATAAAAAATAGGGGTTGATCGTAGAGGGGTGAAAATTAGGGGTTGTATGTATTTTTTAATGCTGTATCATAAAAAAACAAAAAATAAGTAATTTATCTAAAAATTAAAAAAAATAATTTAGGGGTGGACTACCCTTAACATTTAGGGGGATGAAAAATAAATGTTGTCCGATTCTCAGACATACACAATAAGCACACAAAATTTCATGAGAATCGGTCAAGCCGTTTCGGAGGAGTATGGCAACGAAAACTGTGACACAAGAATTTTATATATTAGATTTTAGAAATAATATATTAGGGAGCGTTCAAGTATTACGTAACGCAATTTGGGGGAGGGGGGAGTCTTTTGAAACGTTACAGTGCGTTACATGGGCGGGAGGGGGGTTATTTAAACAACGCGTTACGTAACATTTTTATTTTAATAAAAAAACTGGGGGATTAATTGGCAACCCTTTTCGTTCATGTTGTATGGGGAATCCCCGTACAGAAAAACGTTATGGTGCGTTACATGGGGGGAGGGAGCTTCTAAAATCTTTAAAATTACGTAATACTTGAACGCTCCTTAGCAAATAATTTAAAATATCCCTTCAGAGAAATAACCAAATTACTGAATAACTTTAGTATTTATCCTTAATCAATTAAAATTCTCTTTTGCATTCATAGTAATTGTTGGAGGATACAAGAAAACTTTATATCTTATTAGTTAGTTGTTTGTCCACTATGGTCTCCTAAACTACTTAACCGATTTCAATGCAATTTATACACTGTGTGCAGTTTGATCTAACTTAAAAGATAGGATAGCTTACATATATATATAATTCTATTGTACGTGTGTATGTCACCGAACTCCTCTTAAACGGCTGGACCGATATTAATTATTTTTTGTATGCAAATGCATACAAAAATAATTGATGGTGCAGGGTGGAGCCCTGGATGTTTTAGATTCACAAATCAGCCCGGCAGATGGCGCTGCAGTCGGTACTTTCATACTTTGTTTAATATCCTAATAGCTTGAAATATCAAGGAGGACAACGTCTGTTGGGTCCGCTAGTTATATTATGTTACCCCACAATGTTTGCCTCCACTGTATCTGTGCACAGCTGGGAATTAAAAGTGCAACCTCAGGCTTGAGTCTCACACATAAGCCACTAGGCCAATACTGGTTTTTGAGATACATGTTAGGGAGCGTTCAAGTATTACGTCACGCAATTTTTGGAGATTTATGACCCCCCATGTAACGCACCGTAACGTTTTTCTGTACCCAATAGTAAAACGTTTAGTGACCACCTAGTGACTCTTTGTACCTAAAGTAACCATTATGTGGTGTAAAGTACTGGAAAGTCGAAAATAATATTAACAATAACGCGTAATTTAATCCCCGCCCCGCATCGTAACGTTTTACCAGAGGAAACCCACCTAAAATCCGTAACGTAATACTTGAACGCTCCCTTAATTGTTATTAATTACCATTGATTTGTTTTATCAATTATTTGTTTAGAATAGTTTTTTTAAAACTTAAAATATAAAAAGTACCTATTAGGATGTGTTACACCAACATTAATATCCTTAATGCTATCCCAGTCCATGATCCTTACATCAGCAATGTCAGTTCCAGTGAGCCGTTCCAGACCCTGATCATGAAGGAGCACCAGCTGGCCATCACGAGATGCTCTCACATCCATCTCTACAAAATTGCACTCCATTGCAACACACTGAAACCCAAAATAAGAATTTTAATACTAAGTTAAATAAACTGTACAACTGAGCCAGGGTCAGAGGAATGTTTTAAATAAAGAATTTATTATATCACCAGTTATTTAATTTTTTTTTAGAGAAATAGTCAAAACCGTTTATGACGACATTGTTTTGAACAACATACCAGTTATATTGTCCAAAATCAAAGGTCCCGGCTGAATTCTATTGCATTAGGTACTTAATAACAACTGAAATATGAGTAGTCCCTTCAATGTTGTTATAAAATATTTTGACTATAATAAGTATAGAATATACACATATTTACATTAAGTTATTCTGATTTTAATATAAATATATGATACACTAGTTTACATAAAGGTTTCATATTTCATTAAACATAATTATCATATTTCTAGTATCCTTGATAATTATTACAAGAATTAATATAAAATAACCTTTCAAAGAAGTAACCAATATTACTTATATTAAATGTAAATACTAACTTTAGAATTTAACCTTATAGGTCAATTAAAATAATCTATTGTATTCATAGTAATTAATAGACAAGGATACAATCAAAACTTATAAAAAAATATTAACAGCACTAGAAATATGGTAATTATGTTTCATGAACAAAGAAGCCTATATAAGATATATAAGAATCTATGTACTGTTTTATATATACATATAGCAAATACTTTATTTTATCATAGGGTATTAAATCATATACATAATTATACTACTACTATATTTATTCTGATGTATATACATACTATATTGGGCTTGTACTTTTAAGTTTATATACTGATCTAATATGGCCTATTGCTTTATTAGATTTTCCAAGTTTTTTAATTAAAAATAGGCAACATTATGTATGTGACTACTCTAATAAGCATTTAGAACCTTCATACTTTTTGAAGATATAATAAATAATAATACATTGTAATGCAATGAAATACTCTTATTTTTATAGTCATTAAAGAAACCTTAGTATAATCTAAAATTAATATAGGAAAAATAAACTCACTGTTTTTATAGTTTTAACTGAATAATGTTACTTACGTATTTAAAAGCCTGCATTGTATTCTCTGGAGCGTCCAATCCAGCTCCTCTGTGAGCTATGCATTTAACAACTCGGTCAGGATGTTTCTCACTCTCCTTCGACCCAGATTCGGGCCCAAATATACTACTAACATTATTAGATTCAGGCTTCGGTAATTTTGTATAAAAATACGCCGCAACACCTAATATTCCAACATCCAAACCAAACGGCAAAACTGAATGTAAATATATAAAAAATGTTAATAAGAATGTTATTGTGTAATATATGCTGTTATAAAAAATAGTTAACGTCGTTAAAATCATATTTTCGTTCGAAAGTTCAGTTATTTATTATAAATTAATTTCGTAAGTAATGTACTACTTTCGTAATAGTATCGAAAATCGAAAATAAATAAATCGAATCAAAGGCGGGGTCTATTGACATAAGAAATAACAGCTGTCAATTGTCAAAATGTGAACGATATGATATTACCATTTACCATGTCTACAGAATTTAATGCACACTTTTAACTACTGGATTTCGTGTATAACCTTAAAATATTATTATTTTATATAAGTATCACTCACCTCGTATTATCATGGTGAAATAAGTTAATTTATAATATCTGCCTTCCAAGCCTAATTGCTTTAACGTTTAGAGCTTTTTATAAACTAGATACATATTTTGACAACTAATTTATATAATATAAGCTAATAAACAATGTGTCGTATTTATTTCAGGTCTAATATGTGCTAATGTTTAAAAACTATAGTCTTCTGATGTCGTTTATCGATAATGTACGATATTGTATATCGAATGATAAAAAGAATGGTTTCAACAACTGTCAAAACACTGGCACCAACGAAGAGAGCTGTGGTTCCTCCGAGGGATGCTAAAAGGAAATTTGAGCAAAAATGAGCAATACATTATTAAGCAATAACTGGCAAGTCAATCAAATAACACCCAAAAATTAGCAATATGTTTTGGGGAAAAAGACGGTCTGACGTTGTCAAGAGTAATCACGATAAATAGCTCTTTGATGGAAATGGTTGGTAATACAACCACTACAAGTCAACGGTGAATGATTTACGATGATAATTTGGTCTATTTTAATTTTTCTAAAATTCTCAAATTTTGTAGAGCAGAAAATTTCTTGAAACTTTCGTTCAAATATTTTCTCGGTAGGTTGTAGGATAAACGTAAAGCCTTTTAGCTTTTGACCCCGGAATTTTTTATTTAGATCTGTAGAAAATTCATGTAATTGGGATTGAATACAAACTAGAATGTTTCTTTTGACATTTAGCCCGTCAGTCAAAAATGTCATTATTGACGTACGAGAGCCAGTAATCGCATTTGATTATTACGCCAAACCGGGTTTCTTTAATATTAACGTGCATATTACATACGCTTGAAAAACTGTATGCTTTAAAAGAGATTATAAATGAAAACGTTAATGTTATACATATATATATATATATATATATATATATATATATATATATATATATATATATATGTTTACGAGACATATGATGTTAAAGTCATTCCTATGGGCAGAATTCGCATACGCATCATTTTAATAATTCCCATAAGTTATATTTATTCAGAATAAATATAATCAAGGTGATTACTGACGATTTGAAATGACGACATACAGAAACAAAGACACCGCTGCGACGGCAAAATTCATCGCCCACGACGCACAATACTCTATGCTCACAGATTACTAACGATTAATTTTTTGACAGTTAATTAAAAATGCAAGGTTTAGCGTTGTTACTCGAATAAACAATAATTTAAGGAGCTTTATTATTCCACGGGATTATTATTTGCAAGTGGAAGGCGGTTTATTATCTTTATAACTATTGTCAATTGTATAAAACAAATTCCAGTTGCACCTTTGATAACTCGTAAAAGAAATTTTATTAGACTGGCGACGTCGCCAAGTAGCCAAGGTAGCCAGAGTCGACCGCTTCTGATGCGGCGACTGGCGACGCTGGCTACCTGACGACGTCGCCAGTTGTTTGCACGTGTTTGTATGCTCTGTCACTCACTCGGTCGCCAACCAGTTGCCGAATTAGCATACATACCTTAGCACTTTTTTGGTTTTTCAGTCTCTTAATTATGTTTTTTACTTAGTTATCCTGAAAGAAATTGTTAGTAAGCCTCCTGCTCTCATAATTATTAATATTTTACTTAAAAATGATTTTAAAATTTGATTTAAAATGATTAAATAAAATAATAATTATTATTTTATTCTAATTTTATTGATCATTTAATTAAAATTTCTTTTTGATTTTGATTTTTGAGTCGAGACAAAACTGAATGCATTGGCGACGGCGCCATGGCGTCCCGGTGAGGCAGAGGTCTAAAAGGTGTCAATTCATCGACTGTTAGACGGTACGAAGTTAAATAGAGTATAGTAACGACTTACACTTAAGACAACACAGACTAGCAATTTTAAGCTTTATTACGTTAATAAGGCGTGTGCACAACACTCAAAGCGTGAAAAACGCACCAAACAGATCATCCAGGCTAAAGATGACATCTCTGTGAAGACGAAATTTTGGCGGCATCAGCGTAAACTTTACAACAGCACCTGGCTCTTCGTCCGTCTCGTTCATGTTTAATTAGAAAAAATCTTATTAATATAAAGTAAGATTCAGAGTCAAGATCTAGCGCTAAGTAGATGTGTCTCTCGTATGCCAAATACAATATGTTTTTGATGTACGTAAGTCATACTTGAGTGTCTCCCGTCTAGTGTTCAGTTCCGACTTAGCGTGATGGTCTAAGATCCCGCTATACAACGACCTTCACCGAGATGCTTATTTAATGAAACTTATTTTATATATAATTTAATATGTCAATAAATATAATCCATAAGGGTTGCCTAGCAAATTTCAGTCCAGAGTATGTTTAATTAATTTAAAAAAAAAATATTTTTTTAAACATTTCACCGGTATGATTATTAGATAAATTCTATACCAATCGAACGTATGAAGCCCATAGAATATGCAAACGTTAGGTTGTTTTTAATCAATTAATTATTTATGTGTATATTTTTTATGAGACACTAAAGTATATATACATCTTTAGTATAAAAGAAGGTTATAGTGATACATATATAATACTACCCTGATTAAAAATATTGCTTGAAAAAAGTTCAAAAAATTTACTACATGCAAATTATAAAAAAAAAATTTTTTTTTAATATTAATTAAACATACTCTGGACTGAAATTTGCTAGGCAACCCATATGGATTATATTTATTGACATATTAAATTAAATATAAAATAAGTTTCATTAAATAAGCATCTCGGTGAAGGTCGTTGTATAGCGGGATCTTATACTATGAACTAAGACTTATGTATGCAAGGCGTCCCAAAGTTATGGGACATGAATCGAGTCATTCGTAGTCAAGACCAAGCGTGACCAATGTTGGCTTAGAGGTTTCAACGACTCTCATGCACGGATCGTAGGTTCCACGATGGACTCTATGTGCGCATTCAACACTTGCTCGTAGGAAACCGACATAGCCCAAAAAAGTCGACAGCGTGTGTCAGGATCAAAAGATTTATTATTTCTAATAGGCAAGTATAGAAATGATCACGGAACTGATACAGAAATTTGAAGGCCTAAAAGGTAGTAGTGCCATTGGACAATGACCAAGCGTAAGCACTCATTCCGGGACTACGACCGCCTCTGTTCCGTGATCAGATATAAATTATTGTGATAAATGAAGAACCTGCCCAGGTTGTGCGAGGTCCTGGCCTGCACCTTGATGTATGGATGTACTGGCTTATTATTATGGTGACTTACCGAACAAGGATCTTCTTTGTATGAGAGTAGTAGTTGAGCTCGGCACACTGAGGTATACAGGTGCATTTGGCGAGGTTCTTTGGGAGATTGACAAGTATCTCCACGTTTCGCCCGATACACGCCATGCCGTCCGAATCACAGACTTCGCCATCTTTTATATATTTTCAACGCATTTGAATTTCAAAACATTATCACTTTTCTATTTTGAATTCACGTTTTGACAGCTACGTTACAACATTGTCAGTGTTGACAGCAGGTGTAAAAAATAAAAGTAGATTGTCTAGCGTGCCATAGAGTTTTGTCAATAGTAATGGTCAGTGAAATTAAAACTAAAAAAATTGTTCATTCTTATTCTTCTCTTACTATAAAGGTAACTTTGGTCACAGAAAGAAAATCCTAATTGGGCATAGATGATGTAGGTACGTTTTATTACTACTACAAACATTTATATTATAAAAACATATATTCTTACCACCTTTAGTATGAAAATATGGTCGACAGCCACAGAACATTATCGCCATCTTTGTTCTGCAGTGCATTTGGCACAAGCCGAAACTATAAGCCTGGGAAACATCACAGCTTATAAAGTATAGAGTATGGAAGTCGTTCGTGCCGTTTTGTATCGAAATCAAGTTTTATTTTAAATAAACGAGTCTATATGCAAAGTTAACATTATCTATGCCAGCATTAAAAGGCGATCATCGCAAGATGGCGCGAATTTTTTGCGCACAAAATTTCAATGGAACTTGCAAGTAATACCGCCCATGCACACTTTCAATACCTGAGAGCTCACGAGTGCGTTGCCCTTTAAGATTTCGTACGCTCTTGAAGTACCTTAGGCGCGAAACATTCAGAAAAGGCGTAAGGTGAAGGCGCGGAAGAGATAAGGCACGGATGCGACTTAAATATATCAAAGAGGCGAAGAGACGGCACAAAGAGTCATTACGCAGGTCTTCCTCTTCAGATGACGAAGATGCGCTCGCGATGCAGAACAGGCGACGAAACGACGCGACGTGCCTATGCCACGCCGCGGCCGCTTGAGTATAATGAACAACGTGCCGCTTACATACATTTTGTATTGACGCGTTTTGAAGCGGCAAGATGCCAGAGCCGCGCCTTCACCTTACGCCTTTTCTGTGTTTCGCGCCTTAAGTCGAATTAGTTCGGAAATACTTCAGGGCAGCTGGTTCCACATAGAAGTGCAAATTTATTTAAAATTATTTAGTCAAAATTACAAGTTAAAATATTGTAAAAAATGACTCTAGTTGCCCCTTTCAAAATGTAGTTTCATATGGAGATGAATGCAACTCCATATCTTTTAAAATAGTTTTTACAATATGTTGTATACATTGATTTTATATATCTATATCGATATAATTATATGTGAAGACCATATACCTAGAATAAAAACTACTATACTAAAATAAAATGGGCACATCTTTATATACATAATTCTTCTGTGAGTGTGTATGTCACTGAACTTCTCTCAAACGACTGGACCGATTTTGATGAAATTTTTTGTGTGTGTTCAAGGGGATCTGGGAATGGTTTAGATTCACAAATCAGCCCGGCAGATGGCACTGCAGTCGGTACTTTCATACTTTGCTTAATATCCTAATCGCTTTAAATATCATGCAGGACAACGTCTGTGGGGTCCACTAATGGTGTTATAAAAAACAATGCAGTAGATAACTAAATTAAAATGTAGGTACATGGTGCTCATATATTCACATAATATTAACTATAGATTTAAAAAAAATTTTAGATCTGTGATTTGAGCGTTCAAGTATTACGTAACGATTTTTTTCCTTTTGTAAAACGGTGCGGGGCGGGGATTTAATTACGCGTTATTGTTAATATGTATTATTTTCGACTTTCCAGTACTTTACACCACATAATGGTAAGTTTTAAGTATAAAGAGTCACTAGGTGGTCACGAAACTATACTTGGGTACAGAAAAACGTTACGGCGCGTTAAATGGGGGAGGGGGGTTGTCAATAATCTCCAAAAATTGCGTGACGTTATACTTGAACGCTCCCTTAACAGAAGAGCTAGTCGTGAAGTTCGTAACGATTTTCACACCGCTCAAAAGAACTTAACACATTTCATGTTAAAGATGTTTTGTTTACCTTAATAGAATCAGCGAGCCACTCGTCCGGATACTTGCATCGCCTTTGTTCAGGCCGCAAACTCTTTATTCGGTCGGCAGCTACAATCTCCACCATCTGAAGTGATTAACTCAATATAACCGTGCCTTTCCGCTGATAGAGGACAAGTCTTTGTTTTTAATTTATGTTATTATTATTAATTACTTAAGATGTCATGGTGTAATGGTTGCAGCTCCTTACAAACGTTGTGTAAAAAAAAACATGGCGATTAAAAAGAGTGGCGGAGAGTTTATTGCCAGTTCTTCTCTTCCGTTCTACGCCCTTGATTTGAGAACTGGCACTAAATGTAAAATTAGAAGCATTAATATGTATTTCTTTACTGACGAGTCATAAGTGTACAATGTGTTACTTATATGATTAAATGATTTTGGATTTTTTTGAATTTTTAGCGTCCAGTAAAAGCTAGACTTTGACTGCAAATAACAGACCCTGAAGATAAGCTTAAAAAATACTTGACTAGGCTACTACGCTGTCTGTGGCTTTTGAAAAGCGTTTAATAAATATACAGTAGAAAATGCATTATAGGGGAAGATCGTTACCATTCGTACGCGGGGCACATTCATACAGTCAAAATAAAACTTGAACGAAACAAAGTACAGTCTTGCTTTTGTATGTGTGCATGAGTCGAGGTACCAACTTTACATCAACGAAGTTTTGCGAAATTCGCACCGATGAGAGTGAAGTTACAGGCATGGACGTGTTTTCGCGCGGTAAGTAATTTTTTGATCAATGTTTTTGTCTCTTGTTACCGTAGATAAAATAAGTTTTTTTTTAATTTTATCAGAACTTGCAAAATATACTTAAGTTGCGTCTCCAATACTTAATTAATGACGTTTTCCTATTAACACGTTCACTGCGGCAAGTAAAATCATAACTTTTTATCAGGTGCGGCGGCGGGCCAAAATGCGCCCCCAATGATATTTCCGCCAGTGCGTCCGTTTCCGGCAGGTCTTTCTAGACCCAACAGCACTAGGATAGATTAAATTGCTATAACTTTGTGGAAACATAATGTATACATTTTTTTTTACATTGTTAGAATGATCTTGAATCCAACTTCCTTAGGTTTGATTCGCCCCGGGATCTGGCAAACAGGAAATGAGAAATAAAGCAGGAAAAGCGGCAGGCCGATATCGACCTGAACCGCACTTGAATATATTTTTAGTAGTGATGGGACAGAGAAATATCTAAAATAAAACAGAATTATCGTAAAAGAACTGAAAAATGTATTTATTTACTTATGTATGCCTGTCTTGGAAACAGAAATAGTTTTTATTTTTCTTAGTGGAAAATATTTCTTCACTGCTGTCACTATCACTGTCAAAAACTGCAAGGCGAATTACTCTATTTTCCAAAATTTGTATTTTTCTTGTATTGCTTGCCATCGTTGATTATAATGAACGGTACGTTAGATCAGTTAGATAGCACAACACTAACTGGCCGGGCGCTCTGTGCGGTATCGGGTCGCCAGCTGCCTGTTGGGATGGCGGGCTGAAATAGGCCCACTGCCGCACTCAGCGGATGCACAGCAGCGTCAGTGCGTGGTAGGTCGATAAAAGCCTGTCGTTATGTTTTGATGGGGAAAACCTACAATTTTGACCGCAAGATGAAATATATATTTGTCCCTGTCGAATTTTCACAAACACCTGAGATAATCGTTACGCACCAGCGAGAGGGACATAGATTTCTTCGTCCGCACCAGCTGAAATACCGCGGCAGGCTGATATCGGCCTGTTACGCAGTGAACGTGTTAATATTTAAATAAGTTATATTTTGTTGTTATTCAGTTAGTGGGGTACTTGCGGACAGCACTAGATGGGGCACATTTGAACGAATTGTACTACTAAACTTATATGAAAATTTGTCGACACGAACTGTCATTTTCATACAAATTAAGTTTTTGACTTTCTACATACACTACTGTTAAGGCATCTTGACTAAACCCTCTGGTAGGTAGGTACGATTGTGTTAGTGTGCTAATTGCTAATTTTTGCATTAACTTTGTCCTGTGTTGCTATTTTTGCTATCGTCGATGTAAATATATATTAATACCTATTTCTTATTATCTTTATTAAGGTTGATTTTGATGCTTGTGAACCAGATGCTTTGAATAATTTACCAATCCATCAAATAGTAGTTCCTTCGAAGTCAGTTTTGACACCAGAGGCATTTCGACCCTATCCACATGTTGTAACAAAGTAATAAAACAAACAAAATGACGACGACGGCCAGGAAAACCACGAATTTATACTGCCACATCCGAAAATAAGAAGTGCTAATCCGCACCAAAGATCAAGAAATGTGATTCTAAATTTAAGATACATAGCTAATTAAATTTTGTTTTACATAAGAAAAGCTATGTAATTTTTGTTCACTATAAGAAAAGTATTTTATTATTGTTTAATAGAAATTAAATATTTATTTTTCTGTTTAATTTCATTGCTAATAAATGAATTTTGATTTATGTGTGTCGTTTAATCGCACGTACGGAACTACCCCACACCGTACGAAGGTACCCACAACACTGTACGAAGGTGCCCCGTTGATGGGGCAGATTCGTACGTTTTCCAGATTTAGTTTAAATAATAATTATGGTTGAACCATCAGATGAAATCATTTGTAATTTTTTAATATGAATCTCAGATAGTTAGACTATAAATTTAAGCTATCAGGTAATTAATTCATGGAAAAAGAAAAAATAAAATGTGAAAACCGTACGAAGGGTTCCCGACCTTCCACTATATTATGTACTTTAATAAATAAATACCTTAAAATCCGTGTTCAGTTCATCCCCTGGATATATTCCCCCTGTCGGGTTGGAGATAGCTGTCGCGATGTCGTATGGCGAATGAATAAAGTACTGAAAAACACATATATACCTATATATATATTATAACTTATACTTTTTTTTTATTTGTGTTTAAATATTAGAATTTTGGAAAAAAAAAATATATAATAGGATAGGGGCCAACAAGCCTACAGGACTCCCAGTAATCGCAGCCAATAGACACTCATTTTAGCGGGTGCGTAGCCGGCCTTTGAGGGTGGAGTATAAGTATATATACATAAGTTTTTTTAGATCGTAGATTTTTGTATCTGTTTAGCGATAATTTTAGGCAATCATTCTATGCCCGACACACGCCGTTGAATTTTTGGGTCTATGACTGGTTTCCTTAGGATGTTGTCTTTCAACGTCATAGCGTTCAATGCGCAAAAAGTCCACAGCTTCGAACATCGAACCTTTTTTTTTAATTAGAATCAAGTCGGGACATATATTTTATTTTTATTTATTAACTTCGTTGCATTATAATATAAAAATTTAACATAATTAGATGTAAAGGAGGGCAACTGGCGGCCTTATCGCTTTCGAGCGATCTCTTGCAGGCAACCACTGTGAGAAATTTTATTTTAACTAAACAAGAACAAAAAACAAACTAAACGAATAAAGGATACATGAAAAATAAAAGTAAAAAGTGCACATGACTCATAATAATTTAATTTAAGATCAGTCTCACGTCAGTTAGTAGTTAGTACGAAAGTTAGGGATACGATGTGGACAGGTAATGTTTGTACAGAAGAAGTTTAAAGGAAGATAGAGAAGGAGCTAAGCGAATAAGGTCGGGAAGTGAATTCCATAGCCTAGATACCTTAAAGGATTCGCCAAGACACGAAGAGTTATGAGATGGGATTTCAAGGATTTAGTTTTCGGAAGACCGTAACCTATAGTTATGGGTTCCCAAAAATTGGACTACTACCCTTAAAGGCCTTTATTCACTTCGATTAGTGATAAGTGCAGATTATTAGTGATGAGGAGAAAACAAGTGTGGACAGCGACTGATTAGTGCAGGTGATTAGTGATGAGGAGAAAACAAGTGTGGATAGCGACTGATTAGTGATGAGGAGAAAACAAGTGTGGACAGCGACTGATTAGTAAAGGTGATTAGTGATGAGGAGAAAACAAGTGTGGACAGCGACTGATTAGTGCAGGTGATTAGTGATGAGGAGAAAACAAGTGTGGACAGCGACTGATTAGTGCAGGTGATTAGTGATGAGGAGAAAACAAGTGTGGACAGCGACTGATTAGTGCAGGTGATTAGTGATGAGGAGAAAACAAGTGTGGACAGCGACTGATTAGTGCAGGGGATTAGTTGGCTGCGTAGTAAAGTGATTAGAAGCGTGTTCTATTTTTTTGCGAGTGAACTGCGAGTAGTGACGTTGCGTGCGCCCTCCCTTCCCCCTCACTCGTGCCTGCCAAAACACGTCTGGACAGGCAGCAGGACTCTTCGGTCAACCTGAGAGCAAAGTAGAACTCGTATTCGTTGTACCTAAGGATATTTTTTTTGTTTTTGACATTATCATATTGGTTTAGTGTATGTGTTTATTGTGAATAAAAAAATCTTTACCCTGACACCCTGGGTCGAAGCATCGATCCGAACGAAGCAGAATTCGCTATGATAATGGCACATCATCAGCTTATGGCGTCTCCTGACATCAGAGATCTGTTGGAACTGCGCGTACTCCGAATTAAATGTCATGCAGAGACCCTCTTCCGTCATAACTGGAATCCATTGTACCTATAAATGATATTTATTAAGATAATAGAACCATAAAGCACTTCTTTCTTAGGCAACTTATTTTTTATTTTCTTCCTGGCTGATGAGAGCATCATTGACGGAGTTACAAATTTCTTACAAGGCTATATTTGTTTCCAAAATATTAACAAAAAAATGTTTAGGGTTTAATATTTCGTTCCCAACCTCAACGCGATGAGATAAAGTGACATTCAGGGCGAAATCTGGATGAACATCAATCGCCAACTGCAGAAGATCGATTCCCTTCAAGCTGGCGTCGTTCTGGTACTTCCAGAAGTTCTGCAAGTTCTCGCGGAATGATATATCGGTTATCAGTTCCATGAACTCCTGGTAATATTGGAATTTTTCTTGGTTATCTTCAGTTACGTTCCAGAATCTGAAGAATGAATAAGTTTAAACTTTTGATTGGTTGGATATTTTTAGTTGGTATTTTTTGTTATTGTTTCTAGAGTTATTTGTTACTTTAAATATACAATTTAAATGAAAGAGCAGTCATTGCAGCCGATAGTCACCCATTTAAGTGGGCGCTGCCGGCCTTCGAGGGGAGTATACTATTTCTTTTATGAATAAAGAGATTTTTTATTATTATTTAAATATCTATTATTCTCGACAGCTAAAAGTTACATCTATAGAGTATTTACAATATTCATCACATAATAATAGAAAATAATAATAAAAAGTTGATAAGCAGGAAACTTATCCCAAAGCTGGTTCTTTCATCGTTCAACGTATAATTATCGCAATAAAGCTAGGAAATGCCAGCATTAAGGTACCTACATTGCCACATGGACCTAACTTTTTAGATTTTAGTTTTCTTTTCCTCTTTTTTTTTATGGCTCTGGCACGATTTGTGCATTAGCCAGCGTCAAGTATAGGATTTTTTATAATTCGTGCTTGTCTTTAGAAATTCGACCGTGTCCTTCATGTACGGTTTAAGCACTCGCCCGGTACCGCACAACCCTCCCAAAGGCCGAGAACAAATTTAAACTTGCCCTCGAACCGGGAATCGAACCCGGTACCCCTCACCTAGCTGCCACTTAATAAGACCGCTAGGCTATGAGGCCCCATATATCTATTTTTAAATATGTTAAGAGATTAGTCACAGATATATATGTTTTTACTTCTATTATTTATTGCTTTAATCGTAAATTTTGTATGTTTGTTGTGTATTTTGTATATTAATGAATGCATACAGATTGTAAAATTCAGAGACAATTTTTGACGTTTATACGTGTACAAAAGTATATAAATAAAAGTGTAATACGAAAAAGGCCAATATGTGGAATATTGGCCTTTTGGCCATTGATAAAGCTAGAATTTTGACATATTGCATACTAATTTGACAGCTCGACAGTTCCCATGACAATGACAGACTATTTATAAATCAAGTTACCGTTGTATTACTGCCTTCATTTTCTCCTGGTCCATTCGCTCCATGAAGCAAGCCGTCACGGCTGGGAATGTAAAAGTCCAGCTTCGGTAGTCCCGCTGCAGTGAGACCACAACTGGTTCCGAGTTGTACCTCGCTAGTTGGCTGATTGCGCAATAGATGGCGCCAGTGAATGCCATAGAAATTAATATGAACCAAAGTAATCTGAAATAAATACTTTAAATAGATTTTGACATACGCGAGACATACTTGCATACAGCTAGGAAAACAGTGTTGGATGGTGTTATCCAACCTAAAGATCCCCGACCAGTCGAACCACTGACTGGCCCTTAGGTCCAGAAGTTGTATATTCTCACCTGGAAATACATCGTTAGCGCGTTTCAGAGTGTGACGTCATCACACTGATTATAGGCATATATGACTTCCGTATGTTTTTTTATAGAGCAGGGGGCAAACGGGCAGGAGGCTCAGCTGATGTTAAGTGATACCGTCGCCCATGGACTCATGCCAAAGAGCTTGAAGTACATTGCCGGCCTTTAAAGAGTTGGTACTCTTTTATTAGCTAGGGTAGCGGGTTCCACATAGTGGTGGTGCACAACAACTCCTCTGAACTCTATTTATGGTAAACCTTTACATGTTCTATAGGAAAAAACAGAAAAAAGGGTGCGTGTAAGAAGTTATATTTCTTTGGCATTATTAAAAATAGTTTTTGATTGCATGCAAATATTTAATTACAATTAAATAATCAAAGACTGGAAAAAGAGTCATTATAGTCAATAAAGTTTAGTTTACATTTGAAAAATTAAATAAATAAATATTTATTATTATTCTCTTACATTAAGTGTAACATAAATTCTATTATTATTCGAATGTTGTTATTAAATTATGTCCAATGCCGTAGCATCTTCCATGGGCAACTTCATTCTGTTAATTTTGTGTCACGGTGCGCGCGCATAGTAAAATTTCACTCTCATCAATTTTTCATAACGCGCCTAAAGAAGTATAACTTCAAAAAAAAAATTACACAGAATGCCGCGTTTGTTGTTTATAGTAAAACTATTTATCCACATCATTATCTATAAACTACGTTCAAATGTGACAGTTCCCTTCAAGTTTGTACGTTTTTTTCTTTATAAAGTTACCTTTCTATAATATTAAAATTCTTCGTAACAGTATGCTTTAATCCGTGTAATGTAGTTTCCTCGCAAAATTTCGTGTATAAAGAGCTAATGAACAAGATGGATTCCTTGATAAGTTCCATCATTGATTTCATAAGAGCTCGCCAAGTGAACATTGCGGTACGTGCCATTTGCTATCTGTAAATGTATAATACTTCAAAAAATCGTAAGGCCTAACTTGAAAAGTATAAAAGCAGTTCTTTAATAGATGTCGAATGGGTTCGGAAATACTACTGAGGTAGCTGGTTCCACATAGTGGTGGTGCTCGGCAAAAAACTGCCTTAAGTAACGCTCAGTTGTGGAACGACGGACATCGAGGTAATATGGATGGAATTTCCTATTCTGCCTCGACGTCCGATGATGAAACTCAGCAGGTATTAATCCGAACTCATCTGTAAATGGTAAATGCGGTTAATAAATTGTTTAAAGCGTAAGCAATAATTTTTTGAAACCTTGTATTTGTATACATGGGCCGTTGTATCGTTTCTAGTGTAGGCTAGCTGTAATCTTTATAAAATATACATTTAGACTTTATTGAAGCTATTGATAAAGTAAGCCATAATGTTGGAACACGAATTATCTTTCACATCCGTACAAGCACTTTTCCTAAAATGTATATATGGTGTGTTGAAATTTACGTTTATTAGTAACTGATGAACCTTTAGGTATCATTGATACTTTAGGTATGATACCGAAGTCAAATGCTTTCTTTCTGTCTATCTGTTTGTGCGCAATTAACATTCGCTCGTACGGTGAAGGAAAACATCGTGAGGAAACCGACATGTCTTAGACCCAAAAAGTCGACGGCTTGTGTCAAGCACAGGAGGCTACTAATATACATGTTTGTTAGATTGACAACTGTTCGTGAAACAGATACTAAAATCTGAGGCCCAGACCTAAAAAATCATATTTTGCTTTATCTAGGCTGAATGCATGAATGAAAATGTTTGTCAAAAATTATCGCGGTAATATCTTTTTTATTTAAAATGTAAAAATCAAATAGAAAACATGGTTTGACGTGTCTTGAAAGAAAATTAAGATGTAAATGACGTTCTATAATACGAGTTTAGTTCAAGGCATCAAAATTGGTAAATTACTTTTCGTTTGGTATTTCTGTATATAATAAACTGGTTTGGTTTAATCACTTTTATATATATCTTTTATGTAAGTGTATGTTAAATAAGTCTTAATATTTTCGACGTCCTGTATAATATATTTGGTTCGCGTTTAATGGAGATCAATTACAGTTTTAACTGAAAGATGTTATCACTTGATTGTTAAATGTCGTGTATTATTACGAGCACGCAACGGCAATAAGCATAACATAATAACCGAAGATTACTATATAAAAAGAAAAAGACTGCATTTTCGTGATTATTATTAATAGGCAAGTAGGTGATCAGACTTACTTGACTACTTCTATGACCCCTAGATGGGGCAGAGGGTGTTCACAGTGAGGCTCCATCGCGTTCGGTCTTCAGCCTCGTATTTCACCTCTTTCTCTCTGGTTCTCATTGCCTTAACTGTACGGTGCAAGCAGGCGCTTGGGAATATTATTGGGATCCCTTCGGAGTGTATGATCTATCCATTTCCATTTGCGTCGCTTGATTCGCTGGCAAATCGGGGTTTTTCAGCAGCAGGTGATCAGCCTACGTTGATTTTAGACACGTCTTTTTTTTATTTTATTTTTATTGGACAATTCACACCAATTGACCAAGTCCCATGCTAAGCTGATGAAGCTGGTGGTTGTGTTATGGGTAATAGGCAACGGATATACATACATATTATAGATAGATAGACATATAAATACATATTTAAACACCCAAGACCTAAACACAACCAAATGCACATCACATCAATGTTTGTCTCAGCCGGGGATCGAACCCGGGACCCATGGATTCGCAGTCAGGGGTACTAACCACTAGACCAATGAGCCGACAAAGTCTTGCCGGTTTCTTCAAGATAATTTCTTTTTATTCACCTTCACCTTAGTGTTGATTGCATGGCCGTTGGTGCTCAGGGTTCACTGGTGTAAATGGTATGAAGGTAATATAGGTATAATTTAGAATTATCGTAGATTTTCTTGCTTATAAACAATGATTACGCTTTTAAGGCTAATAAATAAATCTTCTGTGCTCCGTTTGTAATTCGACTTCTCACAAACGGCTGGACGATGAAAGAATGTATTTAAGATGTGTAGTGGACAACGCCTATCGTGTCTTGCTATTGTATAATTGTAATTATGACGGGGCCGCGGGGTTCAAGTGCCACAGGCGCTAATTAAATATTAGTTGGCTGGTAGATAGTACCGGTGACCGCAGCTGCTTTTATAAACGAATGAGTATCGCAATACAGCGAGTAAATGCCAGCATTAAAGTTGCCACCGCAGAGACCAAACTGTTTAAATTTGTTTAAATTTTTTATTTATATTTTTATTATTATTATGTAAGAATATTGAATTTACTGTAGGTATATTTGTGTGTTGAAAATAAATCTTCTTTAATAATTGTAATAATATTTTTAAAGTGAAACTTTTATTACATCGTCTCAAATTTTTCATCTGTGTGTCGCATGTCGCGTGACGGTCGGCCATGGAGTAGGAAATAGGAATAAAGTGAAAGGCGCTCGTCATAGCAGCCAAGGCCAATATGGCGGCGCCTATAGCTGACCGTGAAGTGTATAGACTATTTATTTAATATGTGTATATAATCTAAATAATTGTTATTAATATGTGTATATAATCTAAATAATTCTTCTCTCTTAGACACAGAGTTCAATAAAAATATTAGATGGAGAATTAGTCTACTTTTATTATTTCTCATTATCATTCCAATATTCCAAGTGTAAAATTAAGATTGATAAAGTGATTTTTATACCCTTAATGGAATATTATTCCAAATTTTTTTAGTTAAATGTATATAATGTGAAAAAAAGTTTCACTTTTACCATGGTTTCATAAAACCACACAATCCTTTTTTAAATCTATTTTTGTTATTTTTCAGGTGGCTGTAGTGCTGACTTTTCTCTATCTCGTGTACCAATACAAAGATGAGCTGGTTACGATGATAGACCAGCCCGCTTGTAAGAACTCCTTACAAAGGTCAAGATCACGTTCATCCAGGTCTCGCTCAAGGTATAATTTTACACTGCTTAATCGCTTAGACTTTCTGACTTATATTCCTATAATCCATAGATCCACAGGTCGTTTCCATCGCGTTCGGTCTTGAGCCTCATATTTCACCTCGCTCCAAGTCTTTTCGGCTCTCTTTGCCTCATCTGCAACTGTACGATGTTTTGCTCGGGATGGCCGCGCTTCACGGGGATATAATTTGCATCTCTTTTGAATGTATGGCCTATCCAATTCCACTTGTGTCTTTTGTTTTACAAAATGTTTGTAAGGAGCTGCAACCATTACACCATGTTACTGGTGTGTTACATACTTTTCATGCCGGTGAGAGCATCGTCGTCATGTATTTTAGTATTGCCAGTAAATAAAAATCAACCATTATAAGGGGAATAATTTGAAGTCCTGCAGCATAACGGCTCATTGGTCTAGTGGTTAGTACCCCTGACTGCGAATCCATGGGTCCCGGGTTCGATCCCCGGCTGAGACGAACATCGATGTGATGAACATTTGGTGTTGTGCTTAGGTCTTGGGTGTTTAAATATGTATTTATATGTCTATCTATCTATAATATGTATGTATATCCGTTGCCTAGTACCCATAACACAAGCTTCACCAGCTTAGCATGGGACTAGGTCAATTGGTGTGAATTGTCCAATCATATAAATAATTTATTGAAATGTCTTAATAAAACAATGTAGTATATCTAGAAAATACAATTCTAGGCTTAAATAACCTTCATCTATCAAATTAGCCTAAACCTACCTTAACAAAAAATTACAAATGAAGGAATGTTTTACCTATAAATGTTAATTAGCTAATTCGACTTACGGTCTTTCAAGAAAAGAGCGTACCTATTCTTATAAGACCGGCTTCTTCGGCACTTGCGAGCCCTCTGGCAATGTGAGTAGCCATGGGCGGATAATAATAAAATAGGAGTATTTCATTACTCGGAAATAAACATTGTTTTACACGCTTAAATCGTTGGGTGAAATTTCAGATCCCGTTCCTGCTGCAGACGCACCTATCCATGTGATAAAAATTGTTATCACGGACTCCGACCAGCTCATCGGTACTGCAGCCACTAACATCGATAATAGGGATTAAATTGTTCTGAATAGACATTTACTTTTATTTATTAAGGCACAGCACATCTTAATATATATATATATAAGATTATATATCTTTTTATATGGAATTGAAAATAAACAATTGTGTTTCTCTGAAAACAAGGATATTTATTTAATTATTAACACACTATACTAATTACATTATTCTAAACCTAAATAACAATATAACAATACCTGAAAACAAGGAAACGACATTAAAAGTTTATTATAAAATTATCAATTCCTTTTTACAATTTCACAATCAAACAATTTATTAATAACGATGACTTTTCACTTGTCAAACTGCTTCTTCCAACCAAGATGGCTGATGGCGTCATCTAGTACAAATTTTATATCAAAGAAACATGCAAGTTTCTTTACATATATATAAATTATGTGTCACGTTGTTTGTCCGCTATGGACTCCTAAACTACCGAACCGATATCAATCAAATTTGCTCACCGTGTGTAGTTTGATCCAACTTAAAAGATAGGATAGCTTACATCTCAATTTATACCCGCAATATTATTTTATTGCAAAATATTTGTTTATTATTTGATAGTCACAATTCTAACAGTACCAACGTTTCACATAAGCTACAATTTAATGGCATAACCACCAAAAAAGCATGGTGGTCCCCATGACTGGTGTTCTCCTACCGTTTCCCTTGAATAGTTTGCTCATAGCAACGCTTGGCTGGTCTGCTATTCATATATATTTTCTACAGTATAACTTAAAAACTATTCAAAAGTCAAAAATCATTTAATCATATAGGTAACACAATCTACACTTATGAACGTCGAAAAAGAAATATATATGAAATGCTTCTAATTTTACATTTACTGTTCTCAAATCAAGGGCGTAGAACGGAAGAGAAGAACTAGCGATAAACTCTCCG